TCTCTCTCTCTCTCTCTCTCTCTCTCTCTCTCTCCACACACACACATCTCTCTCTCTCTCTCTCTCGCTCTTCCTCTCTCCTCGAATAAAGGAAAAAAGACGGGACTCACAGTCCAGTTCACGTGGACGAATGAACAAGCATGCCACTGTTGTAAGCCAGAACAGGATAGGACAGAAAGAGAGTCAGACCAAACACGAGAGAGAGAGAGAGGGGGATGTGGAGGGGGCAAGATAAACAGAGGAGGAGGATATGAGAGAGAGAGAGAAAGAGGGAGAGAGAGTGAGAGAGAGAGGCAGGCATGTCACTGTTACGTAATAAACAAATACAAAGCATGCGTTCGAATCCTGATGGAAACATTGGGTTACATAAACTTTAGGGACTACACCCCTTCAGGACATAAAATATATAATTAAAAAAATAAAATTAATGCGCAAGGAACGGAGAGGGAAATCAGCAGCAGCTGTTACATCGTACAAGTACGTCGAATTACTATAGACTGGTAAACTACCATCTTCCCCCGAACACAACGCACCCTCGTGGTGAATGTATACAAGCAGAAACCCGGTCGGATACACTGATTTGAGGATGAGCTGTGGTCGGAGGAAGACGGTAGCAGGAGCGCCCTATGATTTCTTTTCTGTTTTTTTTTTTTTTTTTAAGCGGGTTATCGCATCAGCAGACCAGTGTCATAGCGCGAGCTGATTAGGATTTTTTGCCTTTCACCGATTATTACTTATTTATTTATCATATCATGTTAAGGGAATGGAAAACGGTCACAATGAGGAGAAAGGAGGGAGGAGAGGGAAAGCCCAATTCTTAGGAAGGAGACGTAAGAAACAGAGCGTGAAGAACCAAAAAAAAAAAAAAGGAACTGAGCGGAATGTATAACAGGATAGGACAGAAAGAGAGTCAAACCAAACAAGAGAGAGAGAGAGAGAGAGAGAGAGAGAGAGAGACAGGGACGTTGAGGGGGCAAGATAAAGAGAGGAGGAGGAGGATGAGAGAGAGAAAGAGAGAAAGAAGGAGAGAGAGAGTGAGAGAGAGAGAGAGAATGTACAGGACGTAAACACTGGCAGCCGAGGACGACAGGATAGGACAGAAAGAGAGTCAAACCAAACAAGAGAGAGAGAGAGAGAGAGAGAGAGAGGGAGAGCGGGATGTGGAGCGGGCAAGAAAAAAGAGGAGGAGAGAGAGAGAGAGAGAGAGAGAGAGGGAGAGGGTGAGAGAGAGCGAGAAAGAGAGAATGCACAGGATGTCACCACTGGCAGCCGAGGACGACAACGCCGGTGTCAAACGGTTAGATGGTTGGTGCCACGTCAGATGGATAAGAAGGATGAGGGCATATTTGCAATTGACATGTCTCGCGACGGTCTGTTTATCACCTGAAAGACACGTGTCCCAAGCGGTGGGGATTGGAACAGCACCCTGTTCTGTTGTGGGGATGGGACATAAGGAATGGGAATGGGACACCTATGCATGTGTCCTATTCCTTTCTGAGAATGGGAAAAAACACCTACCTACCTATCTAGGTATGTTCCGTTTGCCGTCCATAACCCACTCACTGTTCTTGGCTTTCCCCTACGTAGCGGCGGGAATAACCCACGCTCACCCACCCACCTACCCACCCACCCACCCACTCACCCACCCACCCACTCACCCACCCACCCACTCACCCACCCACCCTGGTCTTAGGTTGGAATACCCGTTGTCGCGAAAATACTAGCAGCCCACAAAATTGAGGATCCAGCGAAGAACACGACTCTCTCTCTCTCTCTCTCTCTCTCTCTCTCTCTCTCTCTCTCTCTCTCTCTCTCTCTCTCTCTCTCTCTCTCTCGCCTTCTCGATCTCGTTCACACACTAGCCCATTCAGACACACAAGCACATATACAATCACGACCTATCCTCCCTCTCCAGCACACCACCCCCTTCCCCCCCCACACACACACAAACTCACACACGTACACACACACACACAAAAAAAAAAAAACTGACAGACGTACAGACACACGCGCACAGAACGAAAGGGCCAGTCGTGAACCGATCCGCTGCATGTACAACAAGATAGACGAGTCGCGATGGATCTCTGCAAAGCGCAAAACCGACTTTCAAAGCAGGGAGGGGAGAGGAGAGGAGGAGAAGGATGGCCCGTACGCGGAAGGAAGATGATGGGCAAAACCAAAACCGAGGGTTGAAATTTGAGATGCACTCCAGAAATGAGGATGATGATGGCCTCATACAACGATGTCGGATGTATAGGCAAAACCAAACCGACGTCTCTCTCTCTCTCTCTCTCTCTCTCTCTCTCTCTCTCTCTCTCTCTCTCTCTCTCTCTCTCTCTCTCTCTCTCTCTCTC